TGACTGGTCAGAAATGGCTATGTTAAAGTCAAAGCATACACATTCACAGAGGCACCTAGTACAAATCAAACAGGATAATTTAGCATTGAAATAACTGAGGGATTAGCTTTTGACTGGTCATAGAAATAGTTATGTTAAAGTCAAAGCCTACACATCTACAGAGGCACCTATCAATTTATTATTTTATTCTCATTCTACGTGACTTTATTGAGCCAAATGTTGTGTAGAACCAACAAAACGTATATGATGGGTCATTTTGTCCAGTTATTGGCAACTGGGCTGAGACCATCAGTTGACTATACTTGAGAAGTGTAATTACAAGCGGCTGCCTGGATTCCAATCCAGGACCTTGAGCTCGGCGCTCTGTGACAACCAAAGCAACCAGCCACCTCAAATAATATTTTTTTAAAAAGACCTTTATTTAAGACAAGGTGATGGCCTAGTGTTAAAGGGACAAAGGCACTACAGTATTTGTAAACGTACAACGTGGATTAACCACAGCTTCACTGCTGGGTAAAGCTCAAACATTATAAGGACAACAATTTCAATTTAAATAGCGTCTCAATGCGACCGCATCTCAATGGGCTTCACGAAAGTGGGGAGCAAAGTGTGGAACAACATTAGGAAAGAGGGTGAAATGGAAAGGAGGGGGGGGGCTGGAGAGGGCAGGGACACGCGGGAGAGGAGAGGGAGAGCGACACAGCGCATGGCCCAGGACCAGACAGCGAGGCCAAGCACATTGGGGACGAACCAATCGTGGGACCCAACGAGTCCCGGGGGCAGTCCAATATGTTAACTACCTCGCCTGGTATACAGGGGTCGTGGGTTCAATCATGACCCTGACTCTTGTATACTTGGACTTTGCGTGTCTCTCTCTCCATGGTCGCGTGGATTTTTCTCCAGGTCTTCCAGTTTTTCCCTCCACATGTAGAATCGTGCGTTTAGAGTATTTGGCTGCTATATATTTCCACACGATAAGCCACTTTGTTGAGCTATCATTTGTGATAGCCAGGTGGCTTCTGAAGAGCTACACAGCTCAGTGGGCCTTACCTGGTAAAATAAAAGTAGGTAAGTAGTAGCACCAGCGAGTCACGGGGAAAGCCAGAAAGCAGAGGATCAAGGCGACAACGCAGCCAAAAACTTATTTTGACAAAATAATTTAGTGGGCTGCAAAGAAGGCAGCGACTGACAAACATCCTCGGCATTGAGTGGCAAGTGGGGGGAATCGAAAGGGAAAGGTTGTGGAACTTGGAACTTGCTCACCCACAGGATGCATGGGAAAGTGGACACCCCACATATGGGCACCTATTGGCCCCCTGTTATATGTGGTCGGAACCGACAACCGCTCTGACCCCAACACTGGCCGTGTGGGATAGCGTGCCACGTGACACCTGTGAACCACTGATCATTTTTTTTCTTTGCAGTCTTGGTTCATTCAGAAGTCAATCCACTGCTGGATGAAGGCTTCCCCATGCAATGTACGCAATACTGGCCGATGAAGTTTTTCAAGATGCTGGCCAGTGTAACTTGTAGGTGTGGTCTAGGGCCGGGAAAAGTGAAGATATCGCGCACCACCGATGCTAGCCATGGCTAGGAATGAAACTCGGCTCGCCTGGTATCTGTGCAGCCACAACCCTACCCCTACGTACCATAAACGAAATACATTCAAGCGGGAACAATTACACATGCGACACAATTACAGTGAATAGTGGAAACGCAAGACATAATGCAGGATGTTGTCGGAACTAGTTTTCGTCATACAGAGGATTTTATTTACTTTCTGCTTCCACTTCGTATCGCCCAAGTATGGCTGTGGTTTCTTTCACTTCATGAAATGACAAAAAGAGGCTTTAACTTCCGTTCCCACGCAGCCGCTACCTATTATAAACACAGCCCTGTCTTCCTTACGTGCTCACGCTGCCTTTCCATCAGATCCACCCGGCAAAAATCTCCTCTTTACAAGTGGGCTGGCGTTGTGCTAAGAAACCAGCGACCCGAGTTCAATTCCTGACCACAACTCACATCAGTGGTGAGTGATATCGGAACAGAGTCATAGGGTCATGCCCTTCTCTCCCCCCGCAACCCCTTTTCACCAACCCACACTGACTAGCATGAAGTGTGGTAAAAATCCCATGAGTGACATCCATTGGTGATTTGGGAAAGGCCGTAATTTCTTATTTTGTTGATAAGAGCTCATGAATGATTTGACTATTCACACAAAGTCAAGTATATGCAGCTCGGAAGTCTTCCGTGACATTTGATCCCGCAATTGGACAATTGTGGTCAGGATGTCTGTGACATCAGCATTGAAGTTTCGTGTTTTAAGAGATTTGAAGACTCCATTTTAAAATTAAACACCACATTGGATGGAGTCGAGTGAGTGTGTGTGTACGTGTTTCTATCACACAAAGTACATCATGGTTGTTCCGTGTCAATGTGGCAAATTTCACCAAATACACTTTGGCTCATAAATTTACAGCATCAGGACAAACATTAAAAAAACATGGGGTCCGCAAATTCGATGACAAGCTGGCCTGTTCAACGAGCTGTAACGTAGCTCAATCGAGAAGGCCTGCGGGCTGGGTTTCTATTTCCACATGCGGGCCCTCTCTGTCCGGCACTCAATAAATCAAATTGCTTATTTATAACCACGTGAGAGTCTATTGACACTATTGTTTCACACGGAGGGATCTGGTGAAGGCAATACGACTCAACGTGTTCGCACAAACACAGCTGACCAGATGCAGCAGAGATAAATGAAATGTAACCAGGTAGGAGCCCGTTGGCATGAGATTTAATTTTTTGAAGTGGGACCTGGGTTTAATGCCTTAAAACGCCACTTTTAGGAAATGCACCAGATCATTTCAGATTTATATGAAGAGCATATTAATTTACAAATAATGGTCTAATTTATTTTGTTTTCGTCATGTGTTGTATTTCAGGACTTGTCTCGTTTAACCGAGTCCACAACTCAACTGCATAGCAGTCGGGCGGCGGTCGTCCTTGAAATACAGCGTGATAAAGGTATGAAAAGTATACACTGATGTCTCCATCACCGTGTGACTATTGATGTTCTGTACTAAGAGATGTCCGTCACTCCACTTACACATTCGAGATCCCCAAAGCAGCTGGGCACTATAACGAGATACACACCCACAAAAAAAACCTGATGAAACAAAATGTACTTTCAGGAAAGAGCGCTTGTTTATTAAGAGGGCATGACCTGACATGGAGAGTGGACAAAAACACAGTGGTCGGTCACTCCATCCTCTTATTGTCACCAAACTTTGACTCTCTGGACAACGGAGGATTAATTATCAAGGTTGTTTGTATGACTCCGCAAGTCTCTAAAATGGGCTGTGTAAACACAGCCATCGCGATCGCTCACATTAAATGACCGTGGGAACAGGTCACCTTTCCTGCCCTAATTCTAATCTTGCCACTGAACCCTGCCACATCTGTCAATAATCCACAGCACTGGCCACAGAGAGGCTGCCCAGACGATCACTTGTTGTTGTTATTGTTGTTGCCCGCACTGCCCTTTGCTGCCCGGACCTGATCATCATGTCCCTATCCCTCCCCTGCGCTGCCTCCATACATCTCTGTGCTGTACATCTTACGATCCCTGCAGCCTCCCTGTCAATCATGCCCTGAGCACAACTGCATATCCATCAACCCCCTATTAGTGCCTACCAATTCAGACCTTATTGGTGACCCCGTGCCCCTTATACATTTCAAAGTTCACCCTACAAAGTCCCATCACAAGGGAGAAAGACAAACAAATAAGACAAAAATTATGTTACTAAACAAAAACAGTTTTCTGTATAAATGTTGGTAATTGGTGTCAATGATGCTGCTCATCATACTACTACTGTCTGTGATCTTGCATGCTGATGCTGCTGCTTGCTTGATATGTGGATGCACAACACTCACAAACCTGAAGAGAAACAACAAAATAACAAAATATATATAAAACAATAAAAAATTCTCACGACGTTTCGACCATAACTCAAACGGTCATCATCAGGTGTGTCGATGATGACCGTTTGAGTTATGGTCGAAACGTCGTGAGAATTTTTTATTGTTTTATATATATTTTGTTATTTTGTTGTTTCTCTTCAACGTGACTTTACCGAAAAAACTAAGAATATGAATTACTGCAGTCACGAAAGCTTTAAATCTAAACTCACAAACCTGTCAACCCCTTACCATTGCCCTACCTTATTACAGACCAATTCAGACCTTATTGGTCACCCCGTGCCCCGATAAATCTCAACGTTCTTCAAACAAAGTCCCATCACAAGGAAGAAACACAAATAGAACCTGAACACGCAATTTCCCTGTACAACAATACAAGGTAACCATATGGGTTGGCAGGAATGCAAATGGAATGCCCTTCACAACCATAACGCGCCACGTACGTACAATACGTTGAACTTCTTTCGCACCGTACGTGTAGCCAATCGGAGGTGTGGGGAACAGGCAACGAACTAAACACAAAAATCAGTTCGGGGCTAGGCGGTGGGGCAGCAGTGCAGCAAATCCATTGTACTGCACTTCTAGGCTCCCACACCTTTACCAGCCGGCACTGATGATCATCGTGGTGGTGAAGTTAATGTGGATCAACGTAACCACCACTCCCATCCCCAAACATCTTATACACAATGTACACACATGTTTCACCTTTTCCCCAAGCCCTGCCCAGCTCTGTCAGTAAGCCACACAGCACTGGCCAGAGAGAGGCTGCTCAGGCCGATAACCCCGTTACGTACGGGGCGAAAGACATTCGACCAACAACACACAAACACGTTACAACCGCTGCCGCCTGTAAACCTGTAAACAACTCCGGACCCCCCTTGCCTACATCCCCACCCCCGACCACCGCACGTCCATCGGGGCACGAATCCCGGCCCTGTCTCTTGTCCGTCCTCCTACCCGCACCACCCTCGTCTCCCCGCCACGACGTTTCCCGCCGCCGCCGCCCGCGTGTCGTCCCTCACCCGAGAGGCCGCCCAAGGTGGCCGTCCATATCTGCTCGTACACGAAGATCCACACGCAGAAGACGGCGACGCCGAAGAGGAATCCCAGCACGGCCATCGCCAGGCGCAGCCGAAGCGCCGCCCGCCCGACCGCCATGGCCTCCTCCTCCTCCCTCGGTCACCACCGGCACCGCCAAAAGCACAAAGATCCCTCACGCCTCCCTCCCCGCCTGCTCCGTGTAGCCTTGACAGACTGCCGGGGCAAAGCGCCTATGAAGGCCGGCACGGCACACGGAGGTGGCCAGCAAGCACGGCCGCCTTTGTCTCCCCCAGTGGCGATGTTTGTTTTTGAAGCACTCCAACGCGGCCCCAAGTCAACTCGTCTGAGGGGCCGGGTCGACCGAAGGCGAGGGGGGGGGGGGCCCCCCTCAGGGAATCGTCACCGGTTGTCGGCGTGGCCGTGAGCGGGAATCGAACTCGGGTACGCCGTGCTGCTCAGGAACCACCTACCACCAACAACAACAACCAGCACCACCAATAATCAACAACCTCTCTGATCGCCGACAACCTCTCTGATCGCCACCGCCTTCCACTCACCGCTGGCGGCTGAGCGCGAGTCGGCAGAGCTCCATCTTACGTGGGGCTCTCAACGCCCTCGTCCGCTCGCATTGGGTGACGTTTGGCAATAGCGCCACCAACACCACCAACACCCTCCCAGGTCAACACGCGAACGTTCGGCCAACGTTGGCGTTTGGTCGCAGGCGTTGGACACCGACGTTGGTGGAACGTCGGTCCCCAACGTCGCTTGATTATTGTAGGGGGCGGCTCTAACTGCCCCCCCCCACCACTGGATTGTCAACATTGTCACCAAGTAATCATTATCACAACAACAACAACAATGCTGATGAGACCCAGAAGGTCAAAACAAGTCCAGAGGTTTGGATCGCGTAAAATAAATTCTGCCGGATACTTTTAAGTGTGGAAAGCCACGTAGGCTGATAGGCGTAAGACATTAATTCATGATCAAACACATTGCTCAATAACAACCGCGTGCAATGAAAAGTAACAAAAAATTCAATGTATGTAAGAGGCGACGTTTCGGGGAATGGCCCTGCTTCATAGCACATGCCAGGGAGTGGATGATAAGAGACTGCGCTGGTTTACACCATGGGGCTTTCCTGAGAATTAACTTTTTAAACTTTGTTTTCCTGATTACCAATTGTTAATTGGCATGTGAAGTTACACTAATACCTATTGAATAACAAACATTTAAATAATCAAAACTCATGACTGAATAATCCACTAATTTACACGAAAAGTTAAATTATCAATGCCAGCAAAACTCCCAACCAGTTTCGACATTCAGTGCATCATCAGCAGCAGCAGAGTTGAAGCCTGACTGCTGCTGATGAGACACTTCAATATGGAAACCGGTTCGCAGTTTTTCTTGCACTCCCCAAAGGCCCGGGTTGGGGGGGTTGTGTAAATAAAAACTATACTTAAGACATATACCCGATGGTTTGTTATCTTTCGTAACATAACGTGGACCTTGTTATTTTTTTTGCGGATTAACGTGGGGGAGGGTCCCTTACAAACATGGCGGCTGATTAGCATGCAGCCTCATTGCGTCATCGTCAACAGCTGTGCGATTATCTTGACCAATGAGCGAGGGGATTTAGGACCACGTGGACAGCCTGGGCTGTTTTTGGTTTAAATGCCCCCTGGCCCATCTTAAGATTCCGAATTTCAATGTTTTCTGGTTTACAAATGTTATTTATTTGTATTTTAAATGCATTATTTTACTTACATAATACGTTCATTTGAAATAAAATATTTGTTATTTAAGTCCCAAAATTTCAGTCAGGGTCGGTGAAATTGTCTACGATTTTGTAGTATAAATGGATATACAGTATGATTTTAAATCAACTAACACATTAGGGGTATATATATGGTATCTGGATGGGCGATGTTCACCTGCGAAGCCCATCAGGCCTTTCGGGGTGGATAAAGTAGTTATCACTTTGTTGAACTATGGAATGACTCGACCCCGTCATGTCAATGTGGACTTTCCACCACTAACCCAGAGCTATAATCCGTAATGTTTTTTTCCCCACGTGGTTAACGCACAGATCAACACGCACTGCACAGTGGCGTGTGCATGGCGTTTATTTGAAATTACTTCACATGCACAGCTCTTTTGTCATTCCACTGCTGGATGAGGATTTATTATGAGACCATACCTCACTACAATGGTCAGTGCGGGTTGATTGCGGCTGGAGGAGCATAGAAGTACAGCACAGTAATGTTGCAGAACTACTTCCCCCTCCTGCCCAGCACGGAGCCCCGCAAAAGACCTATGACAACCTCTTTGTGTTCAACACAGTGGTCACCCACCCAACCACGACCCAAGCTCAGCTTAGCATCTGAGATCTGACCAAATCAGGCACATTCCTGGTGATTTGGTGACAATTGGTCATTGTCCTTATGTGTCGTGTTTATGTAATAGCGTCATTATAACAGGATGTTAATATGTTCGTGTAATTTACTTAACCGGGAAAGCCTCACCGAGTCTCAAGATGCACTTTTGGGAGGTGCCTGCTATTTAGGAATGTTTGGCCAATATCTGTCAAAACGATGAGAGAGTTGCGCACCACGTGTGATGAAATCGCGATGGTGTTTGTCAATGTGGACTTTCTACGGTCCGCACAGAACGGGTTCATGAACCCAACTGCTGTACTGCCATCTGGCCACCACCTCGCAGCAGCCGAGCTGGTTTGAGAATTTTACGAATTCCTCCGTGATCCACCAACACTTGCAGATATATGTATACATAACAAAGAGCCATATACAAAATAGAGATTAATTGATGAAGGCGAGAGTACAACATGAAAGCAAACGTGGTGGAGCCGTGGAATAGTGTGGTTCGTGCACTGCATTCTGAACTCAGACGTCGGAGTTTGATTTTTGACAACGGCTAACATCAGTGGCGAGTGATATATCAACCGGTCCTGCCCCCCCCCCCCCCCTTTCACCAGCCCAGCGTGGTGAAGCTTTTTTTTCAGAAGGGCCTCGTCACCATGGCCCACACTGCATGGGGAGGCCTTCTTCAAACAGGGGATAGATCATGGCTATTTATTAGTTTAACACGTATCTCTATGAGTCTCTATGTATCTCTCTGTGTCTTTATGTATCTCTATGGGTCATTAGCATCCATAATACAGGTTTTTTGGGGTTTGATCGCGTAAATGTGTCGTTACACCCAGGACGTGCCACAGAACATGTTTACGTGGCAAACCTTACTAATTGGTTGTGTCGGGTGGTGGCGGGTTTAACGACACGTTTATATTTACGCGTTTCCCCCCCCACCTAAAAAAAGTATTATTGCTGATGATGATGCGGTGTATTCTAAAGTATTACTGACAAGAGAAATGGTACAAAAGTTGAGAAACAGGGAGAGATGCACGCTTACGCTTGGAATTACACCGAGACAGGAAGGAGAAACACGTGGGTTGCAGGACAAAACGCAAGTTAAAGAAATCACTCAAACTGTTGAGAAAAAAATGTAAATGGGCTTGGGCAGGACAAGTCGTGGCTATAGAAGGGATGATGGCGAATTACGACAAAGTGGTGGCCGAAGGAGAGAAGAGAGAGGACATTGACCGTGGAGACGGAGAAGCGATGAGATGAGCTCATGCACCAGGACGCGGTCGACTGTGGCATCGCAGGGCCTTGAGGGGTGACGACGCCGTGCCGAGGCTTTCATCCAGCAGTGGATAGACCATATCTCATGATGATTATAATGATGAACGTATACCGGCAGTAACGTGAAACTTGTTTTGGTAGTGTTTATTTAAATAGTTTCATTGACCAATTTCTTAACCCCTGAAAATTGCCTGAAACATGATGAACTGATGATGTACCATGTGTACGCAAAGATGATCTAATGTGTTTTTGTAACTATTGCAATGGCAAAGATTAAATATATTTCGACATGAATTACATTTATTTATGTCAACAATGCACAGTTTAAACTGTAAATCGGTAAGTGGTTAGCTCAAGTAGCTGTCACGTGTCAGTGTTAATCCACTGCTGGATGAGTGAGTGCCACCCTCCTCACGACACCCAGCATGCGGGTCGTGTGGGTTATTCGACTATACTTCACCATGCTGTGATCAGTGCGGGTCGGTGGTAGGGACAGCAGACGTAAAAGCATAGAAGTACAGTACAGATTTGTTTTGCACCGTCCTTCACGTCGCTCTGAAGCCTATAGCACCTGCTGGACACATGAACGAGCGTACATCCAGGCACTATCCAAACTCAAACCTGCTTAGTGTCTGAGATCTGATTAAATCGGGCACATTCCTATGATTATCCATATTGGGTCGACAAGACTATCGCCGTTATGTGGAAATGCAAGTGTCTAAGAAAATATATACTGAACCCTGCCATATTAATGTGGAATGTCCACCACTGGCGCAGACCTTGTCAATAAGGGTGAGTGGTGGTGCCTGAGGTCCCACACCGTGCGACGAACCAAGGTACCTGAGATTTTGATTCCTCACTACGCCCAACGTCAGTGGCGAGTGACATCTGAACCTGGCCTGCCTTTATTGACCACCCTGGTGAAGTATAGTCACATAAATCGACGAGGGCACGGAAGTGGCTATGTTAATGCGAGATTAGCATGATGTTAATGTGAGAAATTAGAGGGCACGGAAGTGGCTATATTAATGAGAGATTAGCATGATGTTAATGTGAGAAATTAGAGGGCACGGAAGTGGCTATGTTAATGTGAGAGATTAGCATGATGTTAATGTGAGAAATTAGAGGGAATGGAGGTGGCTACGTTAATGAGAGATTAGCATAATGTTAATGTGAGAAATTAGAGGGCACGGAAGTGGCTATGTTAATTTGAGAGATTAGCATGATGTTAATGTGAGAAATTAGAGGGCACGGAAGTGGCTGTTAATGAGATTAACATGTTAATGTGAGAAATTAGAGGGCACGGGAGTGGCTATGTTAGTGAGAGATTAGCATGATGTTAATGTGAGAAAATAGAGGTCACGGAAGTGGCTATGTTAAAGATAGATTAGCATATTATCGTGAGAAATTAGAGGGCATGGAAGTGGCTATGTTAATGTGAGAGATTAGCATGATGTTAATTTGAGAAATTAGAGGGAATGGAAGTGGCTATGTTAATGAGAGATTAGCATGTTAATGTGAGAAAATAGAGGGCACGGGAGTGGCTATGTTAATGATAGATTAGCATATTAACGTGAGAAATTAGAGGGCATGGAAGTGGCTATGTTAATGTGAGAGATTAGCATGATGTTAATGTGAGAAATTAGAGGGCATGGAAGTGGCTATGTTAATGTGAGAGATTAGCATGATGTTAATGTGAGAAATTAGAGGGAATGGAAGTGGCTATGTTAATGAGAGATTAGCATGATGTTAATGTGAGAAATTAGAGGGAATGGAAGTGGCTATGTTAATGAGAGATTAGCATGATGTTAATGTGAGAAATTAGAGGGCATGGAAGTGGCTATGTTAATGTGAGAGATTAGCATGATGTTAATGTGAGAAATTAGAGGGAATGGAAGTGGCTATGTTAAAGCGAGATATTAGCATGATGTTAATGTGAGAAATTAGAGGGCACGGAAGTGGCTATGTTAATGTGAGAGATTAGCATGTTAATGAGAATTTTATTTTGTTTTATTTTTATTATTTTATTTCCATTCTACGTGACTTTACCGAAAGAACCAAGAAGTTGCGAAATAATTTCAACAGACGTACAGAACACACACCACAACATTTAGAGACATACCATTCTGACATAAGAAACATGGGACACGTCACGGCGAGAAGTTATGTTGGCCAGTGGTCAAGAATAAATGACGGGGGCGACAACCACGGAATGTAACGCGCCCAAGATCCGGACGCCCCATCGAGGAGATGGAGCAGCAAAACAAAAACATCTGGTGTGCAAAAGTGCTACGTTGGGACTGTTGTGTCGCAGCACCGTGAGAGGTAGCGACGGCGTGTCAAGGAAGGTCTTCATCCAGCAGTTGATTGATCACGACACACAACAGGAAGAGGGGGGAGCGGGGTTTCATAATTTCACACGAAATTTTTATTTTGGAAAAAAAAAGAACCGAGATAATTTGGGATGGGGGAGGGGTATTGGGCTCTAAATGGGCTGGCACAGATCACGGGACTGTGAAAACACTCACACACACACACTCCTCTCCCCATCATCTCCACCTTGACACAAACACGCAGGACCCCCCCCCCCCCGGACACATTTCAACGAGTCACGTTTGTACACGTGTAGCTTTAAGACTCCCCAAAATGCAACGTACGCCCTTGTATATACACAAAACGCTCCCCCCCCCTTCCCACACTTTCACAAACCTACTCTGACAAGCGTGAAGTATGGTAAAAAAAACCACATGCCCTGCATGCGGCGTAGTACTCATCCAGCAGTGAATTGAAAATGGCTGGAATTTATTTTTTGTTATAGGCTGCTACGCTGTGGGCAGCAGAGGGCAGTGCATCGAACTCCACTGTTGGATTCTACTCTGCTTCCATGGACTATGCTCTCCCCACACGCCTTCAAACGACCTTCCAATGACCAGCAAGCATTAAGTTTGACCAAATAAGCACCCACCTCCCCTCCCACACGACCCATCCCTGCGTGGGGACGCCTTCATCCAGCAGTGGATTGATTTTTTTTTAAAGGGCTGTACGGTAACACGTACTGCGCTACAGCTCGTAGAGAATAAGAAACGCAACATACTGCACACACAATAGTATACAGTACTGTATAGTAAATACAGTACACGAATGTGTATAGTACACGCGGATATATGGGTGGGCGACTGAAACCAATCATTCGACACTGGAGGGGGTCGATAAAATAAACACCATTTTTTTAATCGTAGTGGTTGTCCAAATGCGGCCGATTCCCGCCATTGGAATGTGGAATTTCCATACATTTAAGACCAATAAGAGATGCATTGGGTGCAGAGCGGTGGCGCAGTGATTTGCGTCGCTCCCCTATGTACTCCGCAACATAGGTTCGAGTCCCGAACCATCAGTAGCGAAGTTGAACTGGATTCAAAGCCGTAACACCACCTCGGCCCTTTAAACCAATCAGCCCTTTACTGACCAGCCCGGTGAAGTATTAAGTCAATCCCCACGATCGACACGGCGTAAACATTTAACTCATCCAGCAGTGGATGGAACAAGGGGCTGTGGATATACAACACGTGTACTATACAAACTTGACGGGGTAATCAAACATTGTAATCGACATCAGGCGTCGCAAACACCCAACTTTTAATTCTCGCTCAACGCTACGTAAACAAGTTACCGTATTCTCCGGATTATAGAACATCTCTAGGAATACAAATGAAAAGATGGATCCCAAACGTTGTGTCCCCGTTGTCACGAGTGAAATTACAAATCGAATTCAACACAAGTACCGGATTTACAAGACGTACCGCCAACGCTTATCTTTAAAATACAAAGGGGGTGTTGGTGGTGGATGAGTGGCAAGTGCGTCCTATAATCTAGAGAATAGGGCAGAACCCATCCAAGTCTCCTGCTCAATTGGCACATGTTTTAAGATATTTTAAAACGCCCCTCAGCGCGACCTACAATTGTTGTATTCAAAACGAGCAAATGTATAAATGGTTATTCTCACGACTTTTTGACCATCCCCCCCCCCATCGTTGCCAAGTCGCCGTGGTACGTAAACCGCACGGGTGCGTAACGAAAATAGAAAACGTTATTAGACGAAACATTACGACAAAAACAAGACGCGCTTTCGTTTTTGGGGATTGCGACACTCCGCCCCCAAACGTTCATCCATCCCGCGGCTTCTGATCTCCCCCCCACCCCACCGAACCCACAGGTCACCCTTACCACAAGGGGCGGTCACACAATGACCCAATGCCCTCTTGACCCACCGACTCCACGAGTCCGGCGACTTTTTGTTTTCTGGCAGAAACTTGGGCGCGAGAGACAGAGAGGGGTCGGTCGGTCCGTCGGTCCGTCGTCTCGCGTCTCGTCTGCTCAGCAGCTGCGGGATCCGGAGGTGTGGAAATGATTGCGCCGCTGCCGTGGTGGTGGTGGTGGTGGCATCAGCGGTTTTGGCCACGGTGACATCTCGATCTTGACCGATTGACCCCCCCTACCCCCCGGGAACTACGCCATCTGGGCCTCTGTGCCGAGTCCCGTGCCCGTGAGTTGCACGAGCAACTCGTGTTGCCGGTTGAGTTTCGCGTTGTCGGCTCGCAGCCTCTGTAGTTCGTTCTCCAGCTGCACGATGCGATGGACTTCCGACGATCCCTGGGTCCAGCAGGTGACCTGCGGGTGGGGCAAGGTCGTGCTGGTGCTGGGACCCCCGTGTCCACCGCAATCGTCTCGTCCAGCGGCGAGGTCTGCACCGCCTCCAAGATGCTCTGCGTGGCCGTCACCTCTACGGCCACCGCTTCCTTCTGCTCCACTGGCGACATCTCGCCGAACACCACCACCGCTACCACCACCACCATCGCCTCCATCACCACCATCGCCTCCATCACCACCATCGCCCCCATCACCACCATCGCCTCCATCACCACCATCGCCTCCATCACCACCTCCATGAATACCGCCACCACCATCGCCTCCATCACCACCACCTGGGGCCTCCTCTCCATTCCCAGCTCCTCTGCCATCGGGATCGCCACCACTGCCGTGACCTCCTTCAATACCACCCTCCCCTTCTTCTCCTCCTCCCCCCTCTCCACCACCACCTCCTCCTCCTCCTCCTCCATCCTGCACGCCCTCCATGCGCAGCCTCAGCAGCGCGTTCTCCTCCTGCAGACGCGATAGGCACTTCTCCAGCTCCAGGTACTCCTGCAGCAGCTCGCGCTTGCTCATTGCGTTCAGGCTCTCGGTGTGATATCGCTCGTACGTCTCGAAGAAGTCCCTCAGCAAGAAGTCCCCACCACCACCACCACCACCTCCTCCTCCTCCCCCGTCCGAGGCTCCGCTGTGGGGCGCGTCGTCCCCACCTGCCCAGGCGCCCCCGCCCTCGTCCCCGGAGCAGCCGCCGCCGCCGCTGTCACTGCTGCTGCTGCTGAGGGTAGCGGGGGCGTCTCCCGAGCTTTCGTCTTCCGTCTTGCAAGACGATGAGCGGCGGCGGCGGCGACGGCGGTGATAGCCGCCGTGGTGGTGGTGGTGGTGTCCGGGGCAGCTGGGCGGCGGCTTCAGGTCGGGCTCGCCGAGGTCGTGCTCCTCCATGAGGAACTGCGTGGTGTTGTAGGGAGCCACGGGGAACCCCTTCGCCTCCATCTCGGCGCGGATTCGTGCGGCGCGACGCGCGTCTCTCTCCTCGAGCTGTCGCTTCTCGTCCCACGACAGCTTCGTGTAGGGCTTCCAGCGGCGTGCGCGCTTCTGCCTCGACGGCCTCCTACGGTGCCGCTTGCCACCACCGCCTCGGCCCTGATGATGCTGCTGCTGCTGATGCTGCTGTCGCTTTGGTCCGGAATCTCGTCCAAAGTCTTGACCTTGGATTTTCAGCGGATCGGAGTCCACGGTGTGGGGATGCTGCTGATGTTGATGAGCTTGTGGCTGCTGCTGCTGTTCAAATTCCTGCTGCTCCTGCGTTTCGCTTTGCTTGTGACGATGCTGGTGCTCAAGCTGCTGCTGCTGCTGAGGATGTTGAAGTGCACGTCGTTTGTTCTGCTGACCATCTTCCAACGGATGCTGCCGTTGCTGGGACCTGTTCTTTAAATTCTTAGCGTCCACGTGCCGTCCGTCAACAACGATCGCCTGCATGGCTTGCAGCCCAGACTCGCCCCCTGCCGCCGCCGCCGCCGCCGCCGCTGCTGCTGCGACCGCTGTTACCGTTGCCGTTACGGTTGCGCCGACCGCCGCTGCCATGGCCCGGTGCCCCGAGGGCGCTTTGCCGCTGGGGCAATGGAACTGATGCGCATCCTCTCGCCACGGAGCCGCTCGGCCGGGCGAGCAAGCGTCGCCCATGACGGGCGGTTTTTGCTCGGGCTCGAGGCGTTTGTTTACAAAATGTCAAATCGGGAGACGAGCAAGGGGGGTGGGGGGTGCGTGGGGGGGTTGTTGTGAGGGAGAGCAGTGGGAAAGCGGAAGGCCACGCGGAGCGACCCGAGGCGTGGCGGGTGGACACGCCTTCTGAGGGCGGCGCTGCGGACGGGGAACTTTTATAGGCGAGCTCTGTATCCATCCGCCGCCTGCTCACTTTGGCACAGTCCATTTGCACTCAAATGCGCGGGGGGGGGTTTCTGCGAGATGGTTCGGCGTTTGCAGCGGAGCGTTAGCGGAAAAGGCGGCGCGTACCAACTAGCCTCAGTTGTCTGGGGGGTGCCGGGGGGGGGGGGGGGTGCTGGGGGGGGTGCTGGGGGGGTGCTGGGGGGGTGCTGGGCGGGGGTGCTGGGGGGGGGGGGGTGCTGGGGGGGGGGTGCTGGGGGGGGGGTGCTGGGGGGGGGGTGCTGGGGGGGGGTGCTGGGGGGGGGGTGCTGGGGGGGTGATGTCGAAGTTGGTTCGCGGTGTGAATGAGGCTGCGTTGGCACCTTTCAACCGGCGAGTCTGGTACGCAGAGTTCACCAAATGTCTCATCAACCCAGCACAGCAGCGTGAGCCAAGTGTGGTCAGAAACATAAACATGGGGATGACCAAAAAAAAACATTCGTCCAGCAGTTGATTTGGGAACTTTTAATTTTAAAAAGATGATGACGAATACTGTTCAGTATCATCGTTTGGCATGGTCTATCCGCTGTTGGATGAGGGCCTCTTCACGGCGTTCTAAACCGGACACGGTGCGGCGATGGCACCATCCGTCTATCGGACCAGCACGTCAGTTTAGTTTTTATTGAAGTCTTTCAAAGTTCATTTTGGTTTGACGAGATGATCTGGGCACTTCCACATCCGCGCTGGGCGTCTCCCTCCTTTGGCTGCCATTCCGTGGCTCGTCTCGTCCAGGGGCCCATCAATCACCTTCATCACCATCACCTTCCCCATCATCACCTTCCCCATCATCCCCTATCCCATCATCACCTACCCCATTAATACCTTCCTCATCATCACCCCATCATCACCTACCCCATCAACACCTTCCCCATCATCCCCTACCCCATCATCCCCTACCCCATCATCACACCATCATCACCTTCCCCATCAACACCTTCCCCATCAACACCTTCCCCATCATCATCTACCCATCAACACCCCATCAACACCCCATAAACACCTTCCCCATCATCACCTACCCCATCATCCCCTACCGCATCATCCCCTACCCCATCGACACCTTCACCATCATCACCTTCCCCATCATCCCCTACTCCATCATCACCTACCCCATCAACACCTTCCCCATCATCACCCCACCATCACCCCATCGACACCTTCACCATCATCACCTTCCCCATCATCACCTTCCCCATCATCACCTGCCCCATCATCACCTTCACCATCAACACCTTCCCCATCATCCCCTACCCCATCATCACCTACCCCATTATCAACTTCCCCATCAACACCTTCCCCATCATCCCCTACCCCATCAATACCTTCCCCATCATCACCCCATCATCACCTTCCCCATCATCATCCCATCACAACCTTCCCCATCATCACCTTCCCCATCATGCCCTATCCCATCAACACTTTCACCATCATCACCTTCCCCATCATCACCGAATCGTCACCTTCACCATCAACACCTTCCCCATCATCACCTCATCACCACCGACCCCATCAACACCTTCCCCATCATCCCCTACCCCATCATCCCCTACCCCATCATCCCCTACCCCATCAACACCTTCACCATCATCACCTTCCCCATCATCCCCTACCCCATCATCACGTACCCCATCAACACCTTCCCCATCATCACCTTCCCCATCATCACCTTCCCCATCATCCCCTACCCCATCATCACCTACCCCATCATCACCTACCCCATCAACGCCTTCCCCATCATCCCCTACCCCATCATCGCCTACCCCATCATCCCCTTCCCATCAACACCTTCACCATCATCACCTTCCCCATCATCCCCTATCCCATCATCACCTACCCCATCATCATCCCATTATCACCTACCCCATCAATACCTTCCCCATCATCGCCCCATCATCACCTACCCCAATAACACCTTCCACATTATCCCCTACCCCATCATCCCCTACCCCATCATCCCCTGCCCCATCAACACCTTCACCATCATCACATTCCCCATCATCCCCTACCCCATCATCACCTACCCCATCAACACATTCCCCATCATCATCTTCCCCATCATCATCTTCCCCATCATCCCCTATCCCATCATCACCTACCCCATCATCACCCCATCAACACCTACCCCATCAACACCTTCCCCATCATCCCCTACCCCATCATCCCCTACCCGATCATCCCCTACCCCATCAACACCTTCACCATCATCACCTTCCCCATCATCCCCTACCCCATCATCACCTACCCCATCAACACCTTCCCCATCATCACCTTCCCCATCATCACCCCATCATCACCTACCCCATCATCACCTTCCCCATCATCACCCCATCATCACCTTCCCCATCATCACCTACCCCATCATCACCTTCACCATCATCCCCTACCCCATCATCACCACATCATCGCCTACCCCATCATCACCTACCCCATCAACACCTTCCTCATCATCACCTACCCCATCATCCCCTACCCCATTAACACCTTCGCCAACATCACCCCATCACCACCTTCCCCATCATCATCCAATCAACACCTTCACCATCAACACCTTCCCCATCATCACCTCATCATCACCTACCCCATCAACACCTTCCCCATCATCCCCTACCCCATCGACACCTTCACCATCATCACCTTCCCCATCATCCCCCACTCCATCATCACCTACCCCATCAACACCTTCCCCATCATCACCCCACCATCACCCCATCGACACCTTCACCATCATCACCTTCCCCATCATCACCTTCCCCATCATCACCTGCCCCATCATCACCTTCACCATCAACACCTTCCCCATCATCCCCTACCCCATCATCACCTACCCCATTATCAACTTCCCCATCAACACCTTCCCCATCATCCCCTACCCCATCAACACCTTCCCCATCATCACCCCATCATCACCTTCCCCATCATCATCCCATCACAACCTTCCCCATCATCACCTTCCCCATCATGCCCTATCCCATCAACACTTTCACCATCATCACCTTCCCCATCATCACCGAATCGTCACCTTCACCATCAACACCTTCCCCATCATCACCTCATCACCACCGACCCCATCAACACCTTCCCCATCATCCCCTACCCCATCATCCCCTACCCCATCATACCCTACCCCATCAACACCTTCACCATCATCACCTTCCCCATCATCCCCTACCCCATCATCACGTACCCCATCAACACCTTCCCCATCATCACCTTCCCCATCATCACCTTCCCCATCATCCCCTACCCCATCATCACCTACCCCATCATCACCTACCCCATCAACGCCTTCCCCATCATCCCCTACCCCATCATCGCCTACCCCATCATCCCCTTCCCATCAACACCTTCACCATCATCACCTTCCCCATCATCCCCTATCCCATCATCACCTACCCCATCATCATCCCATTATCACCTACCCCATCAATACCTTCCCCATCATCGCCCCATCATCACCTACCCCAATAACACCTTCCACATTATCCCCTACCCCATCATCCCCTACCCCATCATCCCCTGCCCCATCAACACCTTCACCATCATCACATTCCCCATCATCCCCTACCCCATCATCACCTACCCCATCAACACATTCCCCATCATCACCTCCCCCATCATCATCTTCCCCATCATCCCCTATCCCATCATCACCTACCCCATCATCACCCCATCAACACCTACCCCATCAACACCTTCCCCATCATCCCCTACCCCATCATCCCCTACCCGATCATCCCCTACCCCATCAACACCTTCACCATCATCACCTTCCCCATCATCCCCTACCCCATCATCACCTACCCCATCAACACCTTCCCCATCATCACCTTCCCCATCATCACCCCATCATCACCTACCCCATCATCACCTTCCCCATCATCACCCCATCATCACCTTCCCCATCATCACCTACCCCATCATCACCTTCACCATCATCCCCTACCCCATCATCACCACATCATCGCCTACCCCATCATCACCTACCCCATCAACACCTTCCTCATCATCACCTACCCCATCATCCCCTACCCCATTAACACCTTCGCCAACATCACCCCATCACCACCTTCCCCATCATCATCCAATCAACACCTTCACCATCAACACCTTCCCCATCATCACCTCATCATCACCTACCCCATCAACACCTTCCCCATCATCCCCTACCCCATCATCTCCTACCCCATCATCCCCTACCCCATCATCTCCTATCCCATCATCACCTACCCCATCATCACCTACCCCATCAACACCTTCCCCATCCTCTACCCCAACAACACCTTCCCCATCATCACCTTCCCCATCATCACCTTCCCCATCATCCCCTATCCCATCATCACCTACCTCATCATCACCTACCCCATCATCACCTTCACCACCAACACCTTCCCCATCATCACCTTCCCCATCATTCCCTACCCCATCATCACCCCATCATCACCTACGCCATCATCACCTACCCCATCATCACCTTCACCATCAACACCTTCCCCATCATCACCTTCCCCATCATCACCTTCACCATCAACACCTTCCCCATCATCACCTTCCCCATCATCCCCTACCCATATCACCACCCCATCATCACCTACCCCATCACCACCTTCCCCATCATCACCTTCCCCATCATCCCCTATCCCATCATCACCTACCCCATCATCACCTACCCCATCAACACCTTCCCCATCATCACCCCATCATCACCTACCCCATCAACGCCTTCCCCATCATCACCTACCCCATCATTGCCTACCCCATCATCCCCTTCCCCATCAACACCTTCACCATCATCACCTTCCCCATCATCCCCTATCCCATCATCACCTACCCCATCATCATCCCATTATCACCTACCCCATCAATACCTTCCCCATCATCACCCCATCATCACCTACCCCATCAACACCTTCCCCATCATCCCCTACCCCATCATCCC